CAGTAAGCAGGAGCGTCCGAACAGTAGCTGAGCAGGAAGTCAAGTCCAGGCAGGCAGACTCAACATCGCGAATGAGAAAAATCCTGTCCCAGTCACAGCGTGCTACATCAAAAAGAAAGGCTTGTTCATTAAAATATTGTGTACAACGTTTAGTAATAATACGTGGTTTATGCTTGGGTAATTTGGTATCTCTGACTATGGCAACGACGCAGTGATTGCTAACATCATTAGCATATACAGAGGCCAAAGAGTACTTGTGAGGCAAATTACTAAAAATAAGATCAATCAATGTGGACTTTTTATAGTCCTTCGAGTTAGGTCTAGTGGGTGTTTCGACTAGCTGAAAGAGATTTAAACAATCACAAATTGCTTTAAAACAATCTGATACTGAATGTAGCCAGTTCACATTAAAATCACCAAGAAGAACAAGCTCCTTGTAGTTCAAAGAAGTCACTGAGTTCATCAGGGAGGAAATGGCATCAGTACTAGCTGATGGGGGTCTGTAGCAACTACAGTAAGATGTAAAGTCTTAGAAACGAGAGCAACACAGTAACTTCAAAACTATCTTTAACATAGATTGCTACCCCCCCTCCCCTGTTTGGTCTGTCAGTCCTATAAACACTATAACCATCAATATCTATGGCATTATCCGAAACTGTTTTTTAAGCCATGTTTCGGATATCACTATAACATCAGCACTTGTATTTTCTGCCAAGATACGCACCAAGTCCAACTTAGGAAGCGGGCTTCTCACATTCATATGAATAAAACCTAATCCTGATCTAGATTTAAAATCAGCAGGAACTTTGAACATTAGGGAAGTATCGTTAAAAGAACCAGGATTTGGTAATACATCAGTAACATAAGAACTATAAAACTCCGACGCCTTACTGTTTCTCTTACATTTCCGGCAGGAGGATTCAAACAAGTGGAACAGTTTAAGATGCTGGGCTCCTTATTCGTTTGAGCAGAAACTATGGAATTCTCGTACACAAAGTTTGAAAGCAGTAACTTCAAACGGCAGTCCAAGAGAATGTTAAAGTTTGTATACCAATCCCCGGCAATTTGTCCATTTTTAAGTTGTGGACTTCCATACCATAACATTTCGATTCTAATATAAAAGTGTAGATTATGCAAATTAGCACATATTTTAATAGATAATGCCTCATTTGCATATGTAAACATGCCATTTCAGAAAACTGGAAAAGTTTTATGGTTGTATCTATAACTTACATTTTTTTTTTCAGCTGTGAATAATGCACTTATTGTTTCGATAACAATTACAAGAAAAAGGGACCCTTATTTCAATGTTATATGATGGATCCTTATTCAGGACACATTGACCTTTCTAAAAATGTGGTTTAACAACTTTTCCTCAAAAATGCCTACAGGGTTACACAATCTTGGAGATTTGGACCTGACTATAATCAACCTCTATGGGAGGAAGAGTGTGACGACTAATAGTAATGGTCACAGTACAAAAAAGTATAAAAAATAAACCAGAATAAGAGGAAACAACTGAATACAATAAAAAAAGATATGCATAAATAAAAAAGTATTAAAAAAATATAAAAAAAACAAAAGAAAAGAAAAAAACGCGCATTATAAAAAATATTAAAGGGTTAGTTCACCCAAAAATGAAAATTCTGTCAGTATTTACTCACCCTCATGTTGTTCCAACCCCGTAAGACCTTCGTTCATCTTCGGAACACAAATTAAGATATTTAGGATATAAAAATCGCTCCTGCATACAGTCCATAGGCTTCTTGAGGGACTGGCTCTTGCTGTCCTCGAAAAGTAATTGAAGACATCGTTAAAATAGTCCAAGTGACTACAGGGGCTCAATCTTAAGTTTATCAAACGACGAGAACACTTTTGTGCGCAAAAAACAACAACAAAAATAACGACTTTATTTCAACTATTCACTTCCTTCTCCATAAGCCTATAGTCCGTTAACGTAGTGTGATTGCGTAGAGCTACGTCACACGTAGGCTCACTATTGGCCGACGCTGGTCATGTGTGTGTGATGCGTGTGACGTACAATAACAGAAGCTTACGCTATTAAACTAGTAACCTGACTCGCGCAGAGGGAGAAATGAACGAATAGTTGAAATAAAGTCGTTATTTTTGTTGTTTTTTTGCGCACAAAAGTGTTCTCGTCGTTTGATAAACTTAAGATTGAGCCCCTGTAGTCACTTGGACTATTTTAAGAATGTCTTTTATGACTTTTCGGGGACGGCAAGAGCCAGTCCCTCAAGAAGCCTATGGACTGTATGCAGGAGCGATCTTAATATCTTAAATATCTTAATTTGTGTTCCGAAGATGAACGAAGGTCTTACGGGGTTGGAACAACATGAGGGTGAGTAAATACTGACAGAATTTTCATTTTTGGGTGAACTAACCCTTTAATATTTTTTATAATGCGCGTTTTTTTCTTTTCTTTTGTTTTTTTTAAGGCAAGGCAGTTTTATTTATATAGCACATTTCAGCAGTGGTGCAATACAAGGTGCTTTACAAGTTACAGACATAAAAACACAAAAGCAACATTAAAAATGCAAGAATAAAATAATAAAAGAAAAGATATATAATACAGTACAATGAATGAATGAAAAAAAATTAAGAATATGCAACATTAAATAAATAGGTCTTCAACCTTGATTTAAAAGAACTAAGCGTTGTTGCGAACTTACAATCGTCAGGAATTTTATTCCAGATATGAGGCGCATACAAACTGAACGCTGCTTCCCCCTTTTTAGTTCTAACCCTGGGGACAGCAAGCAGACCTGCTCCAGATGATCTAAGTCACTCTTTGGCCTAATGGACATAGCTGAGACTAAAAGACTTATATTTCTGACACTATCCAACATTGTTTATAATAAAAGGATTTGAAAATTATGGTTTTAAATAAATAAATAAATAATAGGGCTCATATTCTGGTATTCATGATTATAGACAATGTCCTTATTTAGGATCTGAGTAGTGACTGCGGGTCTAGCCCATGCTAGGAATACAGCAACAGTGCTTGATTATTTAGCCCGGCTTCCAGAGAATAAATATGTACTTGTTTCGTAATCAGTTATGTGTTCTATAAAAATGATAACCTGACTGATAAATTGAGGAAGGATGACATTGATGTCCTGTTGTGAGTGGAAGGTGGGAGAGCCTCTTAATGGGGACTGGAATTTTTAGTATTCATCATGTCCGTGACGAGGTGAAGAGACAAGTGTGACCCGTCAGGGGAGCATCCCTCACCACTCCCCCTTTCCGTAGTGACCTCACTGGTTAGACCAGACGTGGCGGTATTGGACCCCACATTGGTCTAAAACGGGGGACTGAAGGGGTGGTCAAAATCCCTTGCCTCTTCAGCATCATAATATCCTTTTGAATGATTATGTATTTCTTTATAAAATCAATAATTAAGCATATTCATTGTTACTTAATCATTTATTGACATAAATTTATTCTTTGTGCTTTTGCTTGTGAAATCATATACTTAAATGCATGCTGATGTACATGCACAAGTCACCAGCTTCTTTTAGGTGCACAAGGCAATTTGTCTCTTTCTCTTGTCTCAGGAGAAATGTTTGTGGATCCTAAAGGCGTCATGAACACATATGTCCAACACATATGATACTTCTCTGTACAGATGGTCAAGCTATATTGAGCATTGCTATATTGAACTTTAATTGTTGTATTGTATTCTTTCTATTATATTTGCTCTCTGGGAAGCAAATGTTATCTGTTTTTCTCCCAAACGAGTGAATGTTTTACCATTATGTTTTGGTACACTTTACTGATTATAAGCCGCTCAGACTCTCTTCAGCCTTGATGGGAGCTCCTATTTGCTAGTGTCCTATGTGAATGCAGTAACAATGAAAATAATAGGAAAATAGGGATTTGGTTTGTGTTTGAGTGTTAAAACATAAAGGGTTCATTGAAGCCAACAGTTTAAGGCACCATGTTGAAGTCTTACTCCAGTTAGACTGAAGTTTAGTGCTAGTCTTCTTAGTTGCAGGTTAAGGAACCACTGCCATTATTGGAGATTGAATGAGTTGTTGTTCTGGACACACTGGCACCAGCAACCCAAATCTGTGACCTGGAAGGTCTTGACGTGCCTCATCGATGGAGATATGCTTCGTCTATCTGTATATGTGTGGAAAATTACTGTGTTTATCTATATCTTAGCCAATGAGAATCATTCAACATGTAAGCAATGACCTTGGAAACAGTATAACTGCTGTGATCTTTGTAACTGTAAGGGGGCAGCCTACGAACTCCGGCCTATGAGTTTTGAAGCTGACTTCTGCTGATGAAATGGCAAACTATGTTCAGTAAAACTTTCTTTCATTTTTTTTTATAATTCTGACTCCGGGTCTTCATTCTTCATATCTGGTTCTGGGTCCCTAACTGTTAATCCCTTACACTTAGAACCACGCATACTAAATTAGGGTGTTGAATTACACGCAAGATATTTTAAGGCATGAAAACATCTATTTCAAGGAAAAACTGCCCAAATATTTAATTTCGCTTATAAAGATGTTTTAAGGGGGAAAATTATTGATTGTACTTTAAACTTTTTGACTTAAGATCATTTGAAAATACTGTTCTATAATGGGAATCTTTTTCCAAAGCCATATCAAAAACAGTAACACACACCCACTTACACAGCTTTTTTTTATTTTACAAAATCTTTCTGAGTGACACTGAAATATGATACAATGCAATATGAATACAAACAGTCTCTGATAGTTCAAGCTGATATACGACTCTGGCTTGAGGAGGGCAGTGCATGACGTCACCACAGTACAATACAATATACGGCTACACATAAACAGCCTCGACGTGATGGTGGTGGTGTGTGTGTGAGAGAGAGAGAGAGAGAGAGAGAGAGAGAGAGAGAGAGAGAGAGAGAGAGTGTGTGTGTGAGAGAGAGAGAGAGAGAGAGAGAGAGAAGGAGGGAGAGAGAGAGAAAGAGAAGGAGGGAGAGAGAGAGAGAGAGAGAGAGAGAGAGAGAGAGAGAGAGAGTGAGTGAGTGTGTGTTGCTGCTGCTGCTGCAGTGTTCAGGGCCGGAATAAAGAGGGCCGGAACTTCATCTCAGTGAAGGGAATAGAGAAATCCTTGCCTTTCCACTGCATCCAGATCACTCCCTGAGAAAACCACACACACACACACACACCTTACCACGGCATTCATGGTGATACCAGTTTATATTACTGTAAGCAACCGAAATATGATGAACATTTCTATTCTTGAGCGGTCTGAAAATAGCAAATCTTGTATAATTGTCATATCTACAACAAAAATACACTTTATTACACAAAAATAACTCGTTAGGGCCCAAGCCCTGAAAGGGCGCAGAGCCCTATTGTTTTCTTTAGGGTTCTTATTAGGGCCCAAGCCCTGAAAGGGCAAAGACCCTATTCAGTGCCGACGCTCCCACCACGCGCATCACGCGCAGTGCGTAGGGCACCAAGTGCTGAGGGGGCACCAAAAATATCCTAATGAAAAATCAATCTTCAAACTTCTTGTTATAATCAGATTCAGCGCATTCTTCATCTTCAATCCGCAGCGGCGCCGAGCAGAGAGCACGCCAGAAACAGCTGACAGGATGTGTGTGTGTGTTCAGAGCCTCATTGGTTTGTCACTGCTCGTCAATGTCAGAATATTTGAGATGACCAATCAAATCAAAGAAGGCGGGCTTTATATTCACAGAGGCTGAGCGCGAATTTTAACAGTGCAACTCAACGCTTCAGTGTACGGTCAAGTGCGAGATAAGATGTAAGTATATATTTGACAGGTTTTTTTGGTCATAAATGTTAAACGAATGACAAAAAATAATTAGGCAAACTAATATAATTTTGTCTAATTTCGCCATTTTGAACTGAAAATAGGCCTATGTAACATGTAGCTTAGTGTAATAGTTTAGGCTACTGTGATTGTGAGGGGACAAGCAACATGAACAAAGACTTTTTCATCATGTTAGGCACAGGATTAATAATGAATGTGTGTGTAGATATTGAGAATAAAATACAAATTGTAGCCTTTAGTAAATTAAACAAGCCAACTTTAGCCAACATGGTTTTAAAGCTGGTGTTCTCGAGTTTTCTTTTTTTTTTTTAATTGCCTTCACAACATCTTAAAATGCACATCTGTAGTTCAGAGAAATCCAAAATTTTCTCGGGGAAACCCCGAACCCCCTAACCAGCCTGCCTCGAATTCGGGACCATAGTGATTATAAAATCATGAAACCAATCAGGTAATGAAATTAGTTAATAGTAAGCATTAGACCCTAAGATAAAGTCATTTTTGATTTTTTTTTTTTTATAAATCATACCCCCTAAATGAAAATGTTTTTAGGGCCCAAGCCCTGAAAGGGCGAAAGCCCTATTGTTTTCCTTAGGATTATTATTAGGGCCCAAGCCCTGAAAGGGCGAAGGCCCTATTGTTCCCTTTCGTAGTCACTTCGAGTTACGTCAGAAGTGACGGAGAATGGGGGTTTCGCATAGAAAGCCAATCCTCTTCGAGTATTAAAAAACGAGCCAATGGCATGAAAATTCCTTGGGGCTGTGGAATTTGCATAGCGTATCTCCGCCCCACCCCGTGGGTATAAAAGGAGGAAGTGAACGCAACTGCAGTATGTCTTCGCTGAAGAGGATTGGCTTTCTATGCGAAACCCCCATTCTCCGTCACTTCTCACGAAACGTCTCCATTCCCTACTCAGGGAACGAGGGTTACATCCGTAACCGAGACGTTTTCCTTAGGATTATTATTATTAGGGCCCAAGCCCTGAAATGGCGAAGGCCCTATTGTTTTCCTTAGGGTAATTCTTTTCTATTATTAGGGCCCAAGCCCTGAAAGGGCGAAGGCCCTATTGTTTTCCTTCCGATTATTAGGGCCCATGCCCTGAAAGGGCGAAGGCCCTATTTTTTTCCTTGGGATTATTAGGGCCCAAGCCCTAATAGCGGGAAGTGTGTCAGTTTCAAAATGCTTTGAAATCACCCTCTTATTTTTACCCAATTTGCTTCAAACTTCATCTGTATAATGTAAATACATAGCAAAAGAAGACCTGTGAATGGATTCTTGATATCTCTGATACTGTTGCCGTGGCAACGCATCAAACTTTGAAATTATTTTAGGATGCTTTTGAGACTCTTAGCATGCTTGAAATTGCATGAAACTCAACAGACACATAACATTTATTAGCCAGTAGATATGTGCAAAGTTTCAGAAACGGGCATGGTGCAGGACTAAATAGCGCCACCTTTTGACAAAAGTGGGGTTGTTAGTTTTATCTACAGTTACAAAAATCAGTATATACATTTTACTCCTCAAGCCAGACAACTTTCTAATTCATAGTCATTAGCTCGGACAAAGGGGAAGTCAGATATTTTGGTTTGAATATGGTGAGCCTCTCTCTGAGCCTATGTCACTGTATGGCAAGCCCTTTTAACATTTAAAAGCTAAGTTTGCCTATCCGGAATTAACATTGTAGATATCAACAACGTCTTTCTGACTAGTCGTAATTACATTTTGGATAGTTTGTATTATCATTTAATAGATATCTGTAACGTAATTGTGACTAGTCGAAATGACAGATAGAGTATGGCAAGCCGTTTTAACATTTAATCATTTAATCATGACAGGGCCAGAGCCTGCGGCACCACCACCCCGGTGCCTTTAGGTAACTAAAGGAACCGGGGTTGCGGTGCCACCGGCTTGGGCCCGCCATCGCTGCTCGCAGCTATATTCTATTATTATTTTTCTTACGACTATTCAGGCACTTTTGGGGCCCTTAACGTGCTCGAAAACTCTTGAAACTTTGCACACGGGTCAGAACCCACGGCCATCAGAGCCGGGCTGAATATGGTACCCAGGCATGGCAGGGGGGCTCGTCAGCGCCCCCTGGAACGGGGTCCGAACACTTGGTCCATAACTCAAACACGCTTGCATGTAATAATATGAAACTCAGTGCACATGTCGATCTCATCATTTCATCTATACCTCGCACTCTTACATTTTTTTTTACCCCAGCTCAACAGGAAGTCGGCTATTGAGGGTTTGTAAAACACACGCAATGGAATGTGAAATACTCCTCCTACAGCTTTGATCCAAATTTGACGAAACTCGGTCAGCGTGAAGTCAAGACATTGAGGATGAAAGCTTGTGTGGGGATTTTTGATATCTCGAACGGTTTGGTCGTGGCGAGGAAACGAAATCATGGCGCAAAATGTGAAACAGGAAGTGTGTCATAACTTCAGCATACATTAACTGATCTTGATGAAACTTCAGCAGTGTGTTCGCTGTAAGAGGACGATCACATGGATGTGATTATTGTGAGTCAAAGTTATAGCGCCACCAACTGGTAGCAGGAAGTGTGTCACTTTCAAAATGCTTTGAAATCACCCTTTTATTTTTACCCGATTTGCTTCAAACTTCATCTGTATAATGTAAATACATGGCAGATGTAGACCTGTGAATGGATTCTTGATATCTTTGATACTGTTGTCGTGGCATAAACTTTAGCATTCTTTCAGAATCACTTCGGGCGATAGTTTAAACTCAAAATAATAAATAGGGCTATAATGCACTCTTGTGTCATTATTTTTCTATATTTATTACGTATGTGACAGAGGATGTTATTTTATTGCGAGTGTACACAAATATAGGTAAACAGTTTGCAGTCTGAATGTTGTCCTATATGAACAAAATAACGGATTATGTTTCCTGTTTCCACTGTTCACACACACACACACACACACACACTCCGGCTTGAGAGAGGCGCGCGCGTCGAAGTGTGTGTGTGTGTGTGTGTGTGTGTGTGTGTGTGTGTGTGTGTGTGAGACAGTGGTGGAGGAAGTACTGAATCTCAGTACTTAAGTAAAAGTACAAATAACCAGATATATATTTACTTTAGTAAAAGTAGAAGAAACACAATGACAACCATACTTAAGTAAAAAGTACCTGATTTTAAATGTACTTTAAGTATTAAAAGTAAAAGTACTTGCATAATTTATTTTCTTAATGTCTATTTTCTAATGATTATTAAAACATTTAATTCTAACTCATTCAAACTAATACTCCTATAATGATGTTCAATAATGATGGAAAAAAAAATGTCACCATTTCTGAAACAAGCTTGCAATACACATCATGCTTATCCTTACTATGTAAATAACTATGGCAGTAAACGCGATTAATTTATGGTGTAATTCTGAACCTCTTGGCTTGCCATAATCCTAACCAAACGTATATTACACACGGTGCGTTTCCTATGCACGTAAAAACTAATTTTCGCTTATAAATTGCACTATAAACGCACTGCGTGCGAGACGCATTTAGTGTGACCAGAGCCTGTGACCGGGTTGATATCTCTATGGCAACCAAATGTCACTGGTGAGACAAACATGCAACGGACGGACGGTCAGATTACGTTTTGGCAGGGGAAAAACTGATCAGAAAATGTAATGAAAATGTAACCGAAGTTGTAGAAATGTAGTGGAGTAGAAAGTATAATAATTGCTTCAAAATGTAACGAAGTAAAAGTAAAAAGTATGCACTATTTATTTTACTTAAGTAAAGTAAAGATATGTGAAAAATGTACTTAAGTAAAGTAACGAAGTATTTGTACTTCGTAACATTCCACCACTGGTGAGAGAGAGAGAGAGAGAGAGAGAGAAAGAGAGAGAGGGGGGGGGGGCGATTGAACTGAGCGTGTGTGTGTGTGTGTTAAAGTTTCCTCTGAGCTCGTGCACTTCTGAAGCCGCTGCCGCGCAGAAAATAAGACAATGCCACGCAGAGGACCTACGCAAAATGTGTGGAAATCCATTTGATTGTAGTTTAATTGAGAAATAATTTCAGTGCTCTGGTTAACCGCTATAGAGTGAAAACTGATTAAAGTGGTGGAAATAACGGTTGATGGACATAGAACAGTAACAATTACACACCCACGTGTGAAGTCAAAATACATCATTAGTTTAAATCAATGATTTTGTGTATGTGTGTGTGTGTGTGTGTGTGTGTGTGTGTGGGAGGGGGGGGGGGGTAGGTATGATTAATATTAAAGAGTTCGCATATTTACTTTTCTTGAAAATAGTTAGCTATTAGATCTATTTAAATGCTTCAGTTTGTTTTCATATTATAATAATATATTATGTGCACAAATTGAAGCATTTAAACTGATATATAATATCACTTCAAATACTTCAATTCGTTTTTTTATATTATATTGGGCCTCTTTTGTATTATATTATGAGCCTGAATAAAGAATCTAACAAAGGTATTGTTTAGGTTATATTAGGCCTATATTTTATTATATTTTAAGGCTAAATAAAGTACCTTACAAGGGTTGTTTAGGGCTCATTGCCAATAAAAGTTTGAAAACCCTTGCTAAAGAAAATATTGGAAATTCATAAGCAACAAACAACCATTTAACTTTGATGGTTTAATGCTTCCTGTACACAATTCATTGACTGTACAAAAACACTTTATGGTTTTCCCAAACCATCTCAGTGTAACAGCTTACTTTTCTTTCTTACTATATTCTTTTATTGTAAAGAATTGAACTGTCCTGCAAAAGATTTTGTAAATTATTTTTCATAGTATTTATTGGTAAAGACTGTACAGTTAACAGCACTGGAAAAAAATATCAGAGAACCTAAAATGTCCTTCATTTAGTGACTTCTTAATTAACTGCTTGTTTTTCACAAATATGATTTAATACCAATATGTTACATTAAGGGTCAAATAAAATATAAATGGCACATTCAAGTTAAAAGTTACAACTGAATGTTGAAAACATTGTGTTTCTACATATGATGTACAGGTCAGGTATAAAGAATATTTTTGCTCAGGTGGTGAAAAAATAGAAAAAATTTGAGGGAATACATAGCAGATGAAGACGTGTGATTGGATTCTTGATATCTTTGAAACTGTTGCCGTGGTAACGCATCAAACTTTACCATTCTTTTAGGATGCTTTTGAGACTCTTAGCATGCTTCAAATTGCATGAAACTCGACAGAAACATCACATTTATTAGCCAGTAGACATGTGCAAAGTTTCAGAAACGGGCGTGGTGAGGGCTCAGTAGCGCCACCTTTTGACAAAAGTGGGGTTGTTATTTTTATCTACAGTTACAAAAATCAGTATTTATATTCTACTCCTCGAGCCGGACAACTTTCTAATTGACACTCATTAGCTAGGACCCACAGAAAGTCAGATATGTTTGTTTGAATGTGCTCATGCTCTCTCTGAGCCTACGTCTCTGTCTCTGTCTTTGCCTGTCTGTTTGTGTGTTTGTAGGGGGAGGGGGCTTAACCATTTCACTGCTCTGTGTCTGGCCTGCAGAAAAAGAAAATACATTTCTTAAGCCTGGTATGTTTTAAATAAGTTTTTATTTTAATTTTTAAGTAAAGGCATAATATAACCAGTTTAATTGTAGTGCATTGACAATAGTTTTGTATAATTAGTTTATTAATTAAATAACTTGGTCCTTAAACTTGATCTGAAAATTTGGTCCATAAATCAAACACACTTGCATGAATTAATATGAAACTCGGTACACTTATAGATCACATCAGGCCAAACAACTTTCGTGCTCTAAGTTTTACGACAGTTCAAATGGAATTAGGGAATTATGGGTTGTTTGAATAAATCTCCTAGGAGAAATACATCAAATTACAACCCATGCTGTTACCAGTCACCACCAAACTCGGTGTGCATGAAGTCAAGACATTGAGGATGCTCAATTCCGGACGGATTTTTGATATCTCGAACAGTTTGGCCGTGGCAAGGAAATTAATTTTATGACTAAAAAAGGACACATTAAATGTGTTATAACTTTGCTCGTTTTACCTAAAGTTACAAAACTTGCCACGTATATTGTTCTTGTCAAGCCGATCAACTTTCTAATTAACAGTAAGAAGCTCAGACCAAAAGAAAGTCAGATATTGTAGTTTGGATGTGTATTTTGTCTCTCTCTTGTCTCTTGTCTGTCTCTGTGAGGGTCTGTGTGGGGAGGGTAGGGGAGGAGGGAGGGGGGTTGCTGGTGCCTGTGTTTATGTGTGTGTGTGTGTGTGTGTGTGTGTGGGGGGGGGGTGTGGCTGACTGTAGATTTTTCCTGCAAGTCCTTGTCTTTTTGCATAACAATTTTGTATTTTTTTTTAAATAAAAGTAATATAAATTGGTAAACTACAAATTGGTAATTAAAGCTGAATGAATTTAAAATTCATGTGCTATATTTCAATATATTTGCTAACCTTAAAATTGTAAAACACTAACCTCATTCTCATCTGAATATTTTTTTTCTATATAAAATAATACTCTGACTAAAAACACGTTTGATGTTTCTTTTTTAATCAATGTAGATTGTGTAACTTAAAAATAAACAAATTAGTGCTCTGTTTGAGGACAATCCTGTGTGGAAAGGGGGCAGGGGGTTCCCTATCGAGGGAACTCAACACTGCATCGATAAAATTGACTCTTTGGGGGCACTCCCTAAGCGCGTGCCTCTGAAGTATGAATGAAACTAATCCAATCCTGATTGGTGTTGCGTTGTGACGTAACATGTGACGGCATACCCGGAAGTATAAAAGTGACGCTGTCACAACACACACTAGCTTTCGCTTTTCAGCAAGCGCTACATGTGAAACTGTCTGTCTTATTTGGTGTTGTTTGTCTATTATCTAAGAAAAAAGATCATGGCCAGTGAACAATTCAAGAGGTGTGTGCATTTCTGCCCTCGTTACATCACGGGTGGGGTGTCACTCTCTTTGTGTGAGTTGTTTGGGAGTGCAGCATGCACAGCCAGCTCTCGAGGGGGCTGCTTGTGAACACTGTGAGGCTATGCCTATGAGAGTGCTGCGCTACCGGCTGGCGTGCTTTGACGAGCACGGTCAGGCTCGCGTTCCCCAGGGTTCCGGTCCCGCATTCGTCGAGGCGATGCGGCGATTGAGATTGTGGGGTTCGCAGCGGAATCTGGCAGAGGAGAGTGAGAATGCTGAGGCATTTTCTCGCTCTCCATCAGCTGATCCCGCGGCCTCTGAGAGTGGTGTGGGAGCCCGCGCTGCGGTTTCTCCTGCCCGCGATCAGGTCCCGATGCTTGAGCTGTCTGCTTCTGAGGAAGTGGACGTGCTCAGCATTGATACGGACGACCGTGATCTCAGCGCGCCATCACGCGGCCTGAACTATGAGGAGCTGGTGAAGGTTGTGACTCGTGCTGTGGCCAGACTAAACATCAGCTGGCCACAACATGAGCAGGAAATGCAAGTCACAAGTAAACTGGACGAGCGTAACCTGCTGCGCAGGTCACAGCCTCACCGCCGGGGTTTGCCGTTTTTCCCCGATCACCATAAAGAGATCACGAGATCGTGGGAAAGACCGCACTCGTCCTGTGTTTCGAGTCCCAGCATAATAGATTACAGCAATGTTTTGGGGGCTCGAGACATGGGATATGGGAAGATGCCGAAGGTGGAAGAGGCTTTAGCGAGCTATCTCTCTCCCGAATCAGCATCTTCCCTAAAGACCCCGGTGTTGCCTAGTAAGCCCTGCAGGGAAACATCTGCATTAGTGGGCAGGGCTTACATGGCGGCAGGTCGGGGTGGCTCATGTCTGCACTCGATGGCGATTTTGCAGGCATACCAAGGTAACTAGGTAGGTAACTAAAGGCACCGGGGTTGCGGTGCCACCGGCTAGGGCCCGCAATCGCTGCCCGCAGCTATATTTTTAATTATAATTTAGAGAAAATAAAAATGAAGTTTTTACATGAGATCAATCATCTGAAGAGAGCTCAAACAATCAAGAAAGTCTAATGTGGAAATCCAGTGAAGCTACATGAGTTCCTCCAGCTGACGGACAGATCACTTATACAGAAAAATATATGTGCATTTTTAAGCAAATTCCCCCGCATTGCATTGGTGGATCACCCACACAGAGACACACACACACACACACCTGGTGGTTGGTGCTGGTGTTGTACAGCCCGTTGAGGTTCGCCTCGTGGCAGTTAGGGACACACACACACACACCTGGTGGTTGGTGCTGGTGTTGTACAGCCTGTTGAGGTTCGCCTTGTGGCAGTTCGGGACACACTCACACACACACTCCTGGTGGTTGGTGCTGGTGTTGTACAGCCCGTTGAGGTTCGCCTCGTGTTAGTTAGGGACACACACACACACACACACACACACACACAAACACACACCTGGTGGTTGGTGCTGGTGTTGTACAGCCCGTTGAGGTTCGCCTCGTGGCAGTTCTTGTACCACCAGCCGCCCCGGTAAGACATGGCGCAGCGTGTGATGAAGGGCTGCGGGTCTCGGTCACGCGTGGAGAACGGGCGTGTGTTGTGGTATGACATTGCGTCACCTGGTAGGAACACACACACACTGTCGTGAGTATACCATACTACACGAGTACAGCCTCATTATTCCTATCTATATTGGCATGCTATAGCAAAAAAGCGTGTGTGCCAGACTCACCGGCTGTGCCCGAGTATCCAGAGACTCTGATGGTAAAGTGTTTCTTTGCACTGTCGACAGAGAACGAGGAGTAACGAGCGTAAACAGCCTCGTCTCCGGCTCTCAGGTCCACTCTCAGGCTCACCGGACTCGCTTTAGTGAAGTTATGAAGCAGCTCGTTCCCTAAAGCAGGAGAAGAGCCATCAGTCCAGCAGAGCACACACACACACACACAGCTGCTTAATGACACAGGAATGTGTGATATTTGAGATATGAACGGGTTTAGTCTGTCACCGAGCCAGAACTCCCCATCCAGCGCTCCGAATCCACTGCTGTACTCCCGCCAGCTCCGGAAGAAGTTCGTCTTCCCGTCCTTTCTCCGCTGAAACACCTGGACACACACACACACACACACACAGATAAAAGACGAGCCACTCTGCTAAACGGAAAATGTCAAATATGAATAGTTTTTATTATTATTATTATTTATTTATTTAAAAGGGACAGTGCACATTGATTGACATTTGTTTACACTCAGAGTTAGCAGAAAAGCACATGTTCAGTCCCTTGGCAGGTCAACATCATCGTATTACATAAATAAAAATAATATATGAAAAATAGAAACAATTCAGACAGAAAAAGGAGATAAAAGAGAAAGAAGGAAATAGAATAATTAAATAAGTACAGTACAAAGAAGGGCAATACCTGGGATACGGTAAAGCCTCTATTGTTGTTTGCAGTTTTGATTATTTTTTTATCCATCTCTTAAAGTTGTTGTATGCGATTTTTAGCGGCATCTAGCGGTGATGTTCCAGAATGCAACAAGAGCGCTCGTGCTCGTGTGAGTGCTAGATCTTAAGAGCGATCATCAGTCACTACCAGCCACACGGAGACTTTCAACGCAATGCCGAAATAATCACACAACATGCTGGAAACTAATGTAAACTCCCATTGCAGGTACAATAATAGCCTACTTTCATCAGCTTGACGTTGAACTAATGCTCTGTGCTCGTACCATGATAATGTTACAATAAACTGCATTATAATACGAAGAGTTCAGATGCAAAAGCCTCTAAGTGCCATTTGAAATTTTCTTCTAGAATGATCATTTTTATCAAGCTTGTATATATACGTTCAGTGATTTCACTTAAATGGCAATGATAATTACCTATTAATTGTTATTTAAGTGAAATTACTGAACTTAAATATACAAGTTTGACAAAAATCATTATTAAAGAAGAAAATTTCAAATGGCATTTAGAGGCTTTTGCATCTGAACTCTTCATACCATTATAATACTGCATTATAATACTGCAATAAACCCCTTCAGGTGTGTGTGTGTTATCTTAGAATAAACCCCCTACAGGTGTGTGTGTGTGTGTGTGTGTGTGTGTGTTCTCAGAATAAACCCCTTCAGGTGTGTGTGTGTGTATGTGTGTGTGTGTGTGTCCTGATCACCCTGTCGGGTTTATTCTGAGATATCAACCAGCTGGATGCACATTATCCCTTACTTAAAACTGAGCCAGAGTCATCAAGTCATCTGTCCAGTCAAACACTGCAGAGACAGGGTGTGAAAAGATGAATTATTCTAAATAAGTCCAGAACGCTGAACTGCTCCCGCGCCTGTTGTTGTATGTATGTGAATAAGGATGCTACACATACAGTGGGTTAAGATCCGTGTATTAATATATTGCAAAATAACTCACATGCTCAAGCAGCACACAACTGCTGCTGACTTCCTGTTACCAGTTAACATACTTAAGTTTTCTACAAGGTGGAGCTGCTGCCTAGGCAGTACAACAGGATACCCTGTAACATCTCCCTTCCTTTAGTAAAATATCCAAACATTAAATCCATTGCCCACAAACCTGAACTAAACTACCTGTTAACTCTGCAAAGAACACATACATTACCATGAACAGAACAAAACTAATTGACCTAACAGCGCTGTTAGAACACAACTACTGATTGCTATTAGCAGTGTTCACTTTCCTTGTTCAGTTTGCTCCCCTTACAGGTTCAATCTATCCCGAGGCTTGATTAGTCTGCCACTCCGGGAGTATGCCTGGCCCTGATCCGCTCGGAGTGGCGTGCAACTGGTTTGTGATGAATGGGTTACCTCAGTCTTTGTGACATCAGCCGCTGTGCAGGACTGCAGTGCATTCCTTCGGTGGGTGTGTTTATCCAATGGAGAATAGCTTTCCATGGGTCCTCGCCAGCAAACGCAGCTCTTCTGCACAGGCTTTTTACAATCTTTACTGCCGACTCCGCTTTGCCATTGGCTTTTGGGTGTCTTGGCGATGAGGTGACATGCTCAAAGGACCACTCTTTTGCAAATGTCCTGAAAACCCTGCATGCAAACTGACATCCACAGTCAGTAATGACCCGGTCTGGTATGCCATGGCGTGCAAATCGAGCCTTGCATCCCGGGACCGTGGTATCAGCTGAGAGGTCAGGAAGCAAATCGACCTCCCAGAAGTCCGAGTAATGGTCCACTACGAGCAGGAAATCCTCTCCTGCATTGTTGAACAGGTCCATGCTCACTATCTGCCAGGGACGTATGGGTAATGGGTGTGACATCATGGTCTCCTTCTGTTGTTCATGTCCTTATTTATTGCACACAGAGCATTGTTGCACAAAGTCTTTGATTTCCCCCTGCATGTTGGGCCAGAATAGAGTGTCACGGGCATGCCTGTAGCAGGCCTCTCCCCCTATATGGCTGTAGTGGATCCGTCTTAGCATTTCTGGTCGCAAAGTTTTAGGAATGATAACACGCTGGCTTCTGAAGAGTATGCCGTCTTGCACACTGATTTCGTCTCTGATAGCCCAGTACCCTCTAATCACTATGGGTGTCTCCTCTCTGCAGTCTGGCCATCCTTCAAGCACGACAGTCTTGAGCATCTGAAGGCACTCATCCTTCTCTGTGTGTTGTCGGATTTGTGAGAGGCGTTGGCTGGTGACGTTCAGATAGTCTGTCTGCTGAATGGCTGCGGTGTCGTACTGTTCCTGCTGCAGGCTGCAGACCATTTCCCGCCTGTACTGTGTGTCTGTGCTCTGTGGTGGGGTAGTAGCTCTGCTGAGCGTATCACTGATGTACATTTCCAGGCTTGGCTTGTACACCACTTTGAGGCAGTAGTTCTGAAGCGTAAGGAGCATGCTCTGGAGACGCTTTGGTGCACTGAGGAGGGGCTTGATGTAGATGGACACCAACAGGCGGTGATCTGTCTCTGCTGTAACATCACCTCTCCCATACAGGTAGTAGTGGAAACGCTGAAAGGCAAACACAATGCTCAGGCATTCTTTTTCTATTTGAGCATAATTTTGCTCTGTTTGGGACAATGCACAGGATGCAAATGCAACTGGCTGCCCTTCTTGAAACAAGCAGCAGCCTAGGCCTGTCTGGCTGGAGTCACTCTGTATGGTGACCGGCCTGTTAATGTCATAATATCTCAAAACAGGTACAGCTGTAATCAGCGTCTTGATCTCCTTTATGGCCGTGTCGTGTTTTGGCAGCCAGTGCCACTGTACATCTTTATCCAACAGCCTCCTCAGTGGTTCGCAGACCTCTGATAACCGCGGCATGAACTTGGACAGATAGTTCACAAACCCCACAAAACGCTGCACGCCTTTAGTGTCTGTGGGGTTGGGCATGTCCAGAACTGCTCTGACCTTGTCAGGGTCAGCTTTGAGGCCCTCGGCCGAGAGGACGTGGCCGTGAAAGCCAACTTCCTTAACTCGAAATTGCAGTTTCTTCAGACTCAGCCTCAGTTTTACTTCTCTGCATCTGTCCATCAGTGCGGTGAGGTTTGCATCATGGTCTCGAATGGCTTCCTCCTCTGTGTCGCCACAGCCCACAATTAGGATGTCGTCCGCTATAGGCTCAATTCCTTTCAAGCCCTCCAGGAGCTTGTGCTGCTTCCTCTGATACAGCTCTGGTGCAACCGACACGCCGAAAGGGAGTTTTAGCCAGCGTTTCCTGCCCCACGGTGTCCAAAATGTCATCATCAGGCTGCTCTCCTCATCCAGACGGCACTGTAGAAACGCGTCCCGTGCGTCCACCAGCGTGAAGATACGTGCTTTTGGCAGTTTGTACAGCACATCATCTAAGGTGGGCATAAGGTAATGGGACCGCTTGAGAGCTCGGTTCAGGGGTCTGGAGTAAATGCAGAGCCTAAGTTTCTCTGGCTTCTTCACTATGACCAGATTACTTATCCAGTCAGTGGGTTGTGTGACAGTGACTAAGTGCCCATCCCTTTCATACTGGTCCAATTGCGCTTTAACGGCTGCTTTGAGGGCCACTGGTACGTTTCTGGGAGTGCACTGTACAGGGGCCACCGTGCTGTCCAGCTCAAAGTGAAGGTCACCAGGCAGGGAGTAAATGGGGCCGTTGAAAACATCGTGGTACGTGCTGATTAAACCCTCTTTAGACAGCATGCTCAACTTGATGTGCTCTACACTATTCAGCTCCTCTGGAATAGTGAAGCGTATCAGGCCAAGATCCTTGCATGTGGAGCCCGAAAGCAGTGGCCTCTCGCCGGATTTCAAGATTTCAAAGTCAAGTTTGTGTCTCTTGCCCCTAATGACACACTGAGTACTGAACAGGCCCATTGAGTTCATCCAGGCACTGTTGTAAAGTTTCAGTCTGGTGAGACTAGGCTGAAGAGCCGTTGTGGGTGATAGTCTCATTTTGTCCTTAATGCTCATCATGTTGCAGGTTGCTCCAGAGTCGAGCTGGCATCTCTGAAGCCCATTCTGCAGTGGGAGGTTGACAAACCACTTCTTACCCTGTGTGTTCACTGCTCCTATGCTCATTGCGGTGTAGATTTGACCCAGATTGCCGCCATCATCATCTTGGTCCTCTTCAGAGGGGGCGTCCATAGTGTGCAACTGGCGTGTGTTTTGGCCTCTTTTCATGCACACTTTAGCGAAGCGATTGGGGGTGCCATACGAGCGGCATGTTCTCCCAAAAGCGGGGCACTGGTCCCGCCCACGTATGTGTTGAGTTCCACAGTACCTGCAGTCGCCTGTCCCTCTCATGCTCTGTGCAGGTTTAATGGTCTGCTCAAATGGCCTGCTGGTAGGCCACCGTCGATGTCCCTCTGCCACATTAAGGCTTTCCCCAGGCCTAGAGGTGTCCAGCGCCATAATTTTCAACTTACTGTCCATAATCTCTGCAGCGCGACAAATCTCAACCGCCATTACCAATGTTAGCTCTTTTTCTCTAAGCAGGCGGCGTCTCGCACCCTCATCAGTTATTCCAAGAACAAGCCTGTCTCTTATAAGCTGGTCTCTTAAGGTTCCATATTCACATGTTGTCGCTTTTTCTCTCAGTCTCTTAACAAATGCATCAATAGTCTCACCCTCCTCTTGTCTAAGATTTCCAAAGACGTACCTCTCGAAGATGACGTTTTTAGTGGGTGTAAAGTAGTCTTCAAGTGCTTCCAATATGGCTTTTACGTCCTTCTGCTGGTCTTGTGTGAGACCCAGGTTGTGCTTGTATACATGTCGGCACTCGCTGCCCATTAGCCGTCTGAGTGTTGCCACTTGCACGTCCGCATCTTTCTCACATAGTCCGGTTGCCAGCAAGTAATCATCAAACTCTGCTCGAAAACTTGCCCAATTGCTGCTCAGATCACCAGACATCTTCATCTGCTCCGGTGGTGGAATGGACGACGCTATATTACAGTCAATGTTTTGACTAACATTAGCTGGTTTGCCACGAACTTAACTTTCCAGTAAACAAACAAAACGCGTCGTGTTAGCGATGGCCTAGATAAGCTCACTTTTGGGTCCTAATCTATCTGACACCATGTTGTATGTATGTGAATAAGGACGCTACACATACAGTGGGTTAAGATCCGTGTATTAATATATTGCAAAATAACTCACATGCTCACGCAGCACACAACTACTGCTGACTTCCTGTTACCAGTTAACATACTTAAGTTTTTCACAAGGTGGAGCTGCTGCCTAGGCAGTACAACAGGATACCCTGTAACACCTGTCCTCGCTCCGGATCACGGGGTCACCGCATCACCGGATCACCGGATACGAGTGTACCGCTATAGAGCGGCGAGGAGCCTCGTACCGTCCAGCCACCTCCGTCCGTCTCCATGTCACAGTAAACCATCACAGCCTTTCCCTCCCGGCCCTGCGGAAACACATCCACGATCCCCGACTCCTGCGCTCCGTTCTGCTGCTCCTGGAAGCAATCAGCGGGAAACGGGAACCGGAGATTCCCTGAGGAGAGAGAGAGAGAGAGAGAGAGAGAGAGAGACACACCATGAAACGCATCCAGCTCAAGATCAAGCAAACATGTGAAAGTAAAACTTTTGGTGACACTTTATTTCGATGGTCCCGTTTGAACATTCTAATAACTATAAGTAACTTTGTGTAACAGAGGCCAGCTAGTAGTTGCTGTGCAAGTAAACCTCACTCCTCTGATCTCAATAGGCGCTCTAGCGAACAGATGCTAGAGGCTGCAGTCTTTAGCCTCCTTGTTAGAATGCCCGACTCTCATGCCGGAGACCCAGGTTCGAGGCCTGCTAGGAGCGTGTTGAGTAGGACCCGGGTGGAGGGGTTTCATTTGCATTATGTCAACTTATCCTAACCCTAACCAGTCTATTACCCCTTTAATGAGAGCTGGGAGAGATGGAGAATGTCACTTAAAACAGGAATCATCAAAATAAAGTGAAACCAGACTTTTTCCACAGAAGCAGAATGCAGTGCATCCTGACTTCACAATAATAATCAGTGACGTGTTAACATTGATAAACGTTTTAAAGGGGACATATCATGAAAATCTGCCTTTCCCCGTGTGTGTGTGTGTGCTGTAATCTGGCGCTTCTACCGACACAGAACACATGAACAGTGAAACCCAAGAACTGTGTTCTGGTGACTCTCTCTCTCTGAGAGCATGTCACTGGAAAAGATCCAGCGACGCCTGCAACTGTTATGTGGTCGAGCAGACGACACTGAACGCGATCAGAACATGTCACCGCTGTCTTACACTGTCTCAGGAACTGTGGACACTTGTGGAAGAGTTCAACATGATGATGAGATGATCAGTGTAACTCCACAACAACTACACAAATGTCTCCGCTAACATTCAGAAACATGTAAAAGTGAAGCTCTCCCTGAGTCTCTCCGTAAGGCGGAGCTAAAGCTGCTGGTTACTCCTGATTCTGGATCAGTGAGATCGGCCTGTGTTGTTATTGCCGGAGTCTCTGAAGCTCGTGGGAAGGCTCCGCCCTCTTCTGAATGGAGTCGGAGCTAAAGCTCATTTGCATTTAAAGGGACACACAAAAATGGGGCATATATCTCCTCACACCCAAAACAGGACAAATTTGACATGCTATAAATAAATGATCTGATGTGGGAGAGCTCTTGGCCACACACACACACAGTACCGGTGCTGAAGTCGGTTGAGACGGGTGTGGAGGAGCCATCGGCCCGCAGGACAGCTGTGTATCGGGAGGACGGGATCAGCCGGCTCAGCTTCAGCTCTGTCACTGTGGGATCGACCGTCACTTCCTGTGAGGAACACACACACACACACACCATCTTACCAACGCAACATCACTCACTCATCACTCACACTGATCACACGCTGGGTTTCTGACCTGGATCTCCTGGCCATCTGTGAAGTAGCTCAGCTTGTAACCAGTGATGGCGGAGACAGGCGGTTTCCATGACAACAGTGCAGTGCGAGGCGTCACCTGACTGGCCTTCAGATCACGAGGACCTTCCACTGTTTTACTGGCACCTGCAACATACAGAGGATTTCAATGAGAAGCGATGAACTATATCTGCATGTATAGTTATTTGAAGAGTTTGTTTCCAAAACGCTATAAATCCATTTTAATGAATTTAAGTAAAACTGTGTTTTCTTTAGCAAGAAAATGGGCACATGAAAACCACTATTTTCTGTTTCAAATTTTCACATAGCATTTGTAGGTTATAATAACAATAAAAAATGAAATCCAGGTTTTGATTTTCAAAGATTTATTATAAAAACATCGTTTTTTTCCCCAAAATGCAATAAATCCAATATTTTTTTTCCCCAAAATGCAATTAATCAAAATAAAATTTTATACACATTGAATTTCATGTGCATACTATAAATCCATTGCTTTAATATAACAATATTCAGTAACACTTTAAGGGTACATGTCAATTATCATGAATCCATGGATAAATTAATCATGCATGAATTATGCATTCATTCATACATTAATATCATCAGGAACTAACAGCGTTTTTTTAACAGTTCAACGTTTTTCATTCATGACTTCATGAATGAACAAAACCTTAATTAAAACATTAACTAAGATGAGCACATCATCATGAATTATGATTTATTAAGCATGATCTAACGTAACTTCTGCATATCGCTGTTGTCAACCTTGGGACGTCGCCTCTGAACTTTTTTGACGGCGATCAGCTGTAAAAGGGCTTGGTCCTGCTCAGTTTTCGTTGACTTTGAATAAAACAACTGAAAGATTTTCAAAAGATCCCTGGGGTCAGTGTGTCAGCGTGTTTGATGCTGTCGTGTGAGAACAAGCAACAGCCGGCATTTCCTCCTCCCGAGTGCCTCATCTTCTTAATTTCCTCACGTAACGTTAAATGATTCAATTTCGATGTCACGTTTACCCATGCAGGATATACCTTACCCTCCGCAGGTTCACCAATGCTGTCAAAATTATTCATTAGGGCCCGAGCACTAACAGTGCGAGGACCCTATTGAAACTGTTAGGATTATTAGGGCCCGAGCACTAACAGTGCGAGGACCCTATTGAAACTGTTAGGGTTTTTTTTTTTTTCTTTCTGCAAAGTAAGCGCCAATATCGGGGCTGCAACATGCTCAAAAACTCACCAAATTTGGCACGCATGTCAGGACTGGTGAAAAATTTCGTATTTTGTGGGTTTCACGGATGGGCGTGGCAAAATGGCACGCTAGCGCCACCTAGAAAATTGGAAAAAATTAGCCCCTCGTCCATGTTCAACCTACATGCACGAAATTTGGTGGGGACGTGTATCATATCAAGATGCACAAAAAAGCCTCAAGAACCCATACCCTAAACTCGACAGGAAGTCCGCCATTTTGAATTTGGCGACCATTTTTGGACGATTTACACACTCCGTACTTTAACGAACTCCTCCTAGGGATTTAGTTGGATCGACTTCAAATTTCTGCTGTGCCTTCTAAAGGTATGGACGATGTAAAGTTGTGCTATCTGCGCGTTTTCGTCGATGGGCGTGTCCGTGGCATCGAAGATTCGCCATGAAACAGGAAGTTGTAGTAACTTGGATTTAAATGCCCAGATCTGCACGAAATTTGACACATTTGACAAGAGTCCCGTCCTGAACAAATCTACATGCCTACATTCACCCTCAGTCATAGCGCCACCTGCTGGCAACAGGAAGTGACCTTTAACGAAGCAGCCCCCGCCGCTTGTTTGACCGACATGTACGAAATTTCTGTAGTACATCTACCATGACGAGACAGACAAAAAAGCCTCAAGAACCCATACCCTAAACTCGACAGGAAGTCCGCCATTTTGAATTTGGCGACCGATTTGGAACGATTTACACACTCCGTACTTTAACGAACTCCTCCTTGGGATTTAGTCGGATCAACTTCAAATTTCTGCTGTACCTTCTAAAGGCATTGACGATGTAAAGTTGTGCTATCTGCGTGTTTTCGTCAATGGCCGTGTCCGTGGCGTCTATGATTCGCCATGAAACAGGAAGTTGTAGTAACTTGGCTGTCAATGCCCAGATCTACACGAAATTTTACACATTTGACAAGAGTCCTGCCCTGAACAAATCTACATGCCGACATTCACCCACAGTCATAGCGCCACCTAGTGGCAACAGGAAGTGTCCTTTAACGAAGCAGCCCCCGTCGCATGTTTGAGCGACATGTACGAAATTTCTGTGGTACATCTACCATGTCCAGACGCACAAAAAAGTCTCTTGGAGCAATGCCCTAAACTCAACAGGAAGTAGGCCATTTCGAATTTTACCGCCATTTTTGGATGATTAACTCATCACGTACTTTAACGAACTCCTCCTAGGGATTTAGTCGGATCGACTTCATATTTCTGCTGTGCCTTCTAAAGGCACTGACGATGTAAAGTTGTGCTCTCTGAGCGTTTTCATCGATGGGCATGTCCGTGGCGTCGATGATTCGCAATGAAATAGGAAGTTGTAGTAATTTGGCTGTAAATGCCCAGATCTGCACCAAATTTTACACATTTGACAAGAGTCCCACCCTGAACAAATCTACATGCCGACATTCACCCACAGTCATAGCGCCACCTGCTGGCAACAGGAAGTGACCTTTAATGAAGCAGCCCCCGCCGCATGGTTGACCGACATGTACGAAATTTCTGTGGTACATCTACCATGTCCAGACACACAGAAAAGTCTCTTGGAGCGATGCCTTAAACTCAACAGGAAGTTGGCCATTTCTAATTTTACCGCCATTTTGGGATGATTTACTCATTACGTACTTTAACTAACTCCTCCTAGGGATTTAGTCAGATCGACTTCAAATTTCTGCTGTGCCTTCTAAAGGCATTGAAAATGTAAAGTTGTGCTATCTGCGCGTTTTCGTCGATGGGCGTGTCCGTGGCGTCGATGATTCGCCATGAAACAGGAAGTTGTAGTAACTTGGCTGTAAATGCCCAGATCTGCACCAAATTGTACACATTTGACAAGAGTCCTGCCCTGAACAAATCTACATGCCGACATTCACCCACAGTCATAGCGCTTTCTTTCAAAATTGTGCTCTCTGCGCATTTTCGTCGATGGGCGTGTCCGTGGCGTCGATGATTCGCCATGAAAGTTGTATTAACTTGGATGTAAATGCCCAGATCTGCACGAAATTTTACTTTATTCTTTATTTTTATTTTATTTTTCTTTCAGCCAGAGAGGTGGATAAACTGCGTAACTACTGTGAAACACCCTACTAGGGCTATAGAAGAGTGACTATAAATCCAGTCTTTTAGGTTTTACAACTAGCCTCCCAGATCTGGTTCTGATTACTGCTCCTGTTGGACTGACAGAATTTGTTTGGTGTGCCAGTGCATTTTGTGTCTCTGTACCGTTCTCAGACAACTGGGAACCAGCATGGGTGTCACAACCACCATTCCTTACATCCATAGGAAGGAGGAAATCCCGGTCATGGAACAGTTCCATGAGGCACATCCACCCGGTAAGAACGGGGTGTTGAATGTTTCTCTACCACAGTTCCAGTCACCTTTTGATCTGTGACCCACACCTGATCGCCAGGTGAGAGTTCAGGTCATGCACTCTGTGCCGTTTGTTAAAATATCTCATATCTGCACTTCTTTTCTTTCTCTCTCTCGAACACTTATGGCGGTGCCATCAGGTAACAAAGGATCCAGTAATCTCGGGAGGGTTGGCACCGTAGTGCGAAGACGGCGTCCCATGAGCAACTGGACTGGACTCATTGTGAAGTGGAGTTGACCTATATGACAGTAAGGCAAGGTAAGGATCTTGCTCCTTTTTGAGAAGGTTTTTTACTGTCTGTACAGCCCGCTCAGCTTCTCTGTTGCTGCGTGGATGCTTTGGGCTACTAGTGACATGTCTGAATCCATAAGCACCTGCGAAATCTGAGAAAGTGCTGGATGAGAACTGTGGCCCATTATCACTCACTAATGTCTCTGGGATGCCGTGGGTTGCAAAGATAGACTTTAGGTGTGTAATGACATCTCCAGAGCTGGTGAGTGAAAGATTTGCCACCTCAACATAACGTGAATAATAATCCACAACTAACAGGTAGGTTTTCCCTTTCAGGACAAACAGATCTGTCCCTATTTGCCAGGGCCTCTCAGGAAGATCCGAAGGAATCAAAGGTTCAGTGTGATTAGTGCGCTCTTTAATGCAAGCATGGCATTTCAAAACCAGCTCGTTCAACTGCTGGCTAAGAACCGGCCACCACACACTTTGCTGTGCACATGCTCTGCATTTAACTACTCCTTGATGCCCTTCGTGCAGCCTGTCAAGGACATCATTCCGCAATGCAGAGGGAATGACGAGTCTTGAACCTTTCAGAAGGAGGCCGTTATGAACAGATAGGTAAGCTCGCTCAGACCAGTAAAGCTTCTCGGTCCCAGTACAACAACCTGACTCGGGCCATCCATTCTGGCACATGTTCATGACATTTGAGCAAACACTGTCCGACTTAAGGTGTCCGACTGTCCGTTCTCTCAGGTTGTCCAGGAAAGATTGACTTGCCGGGAGATGCTCCACAATGCTGTCCACGTAAATGTTAGTGCTTTCCATGAACTCCTCATCCATGTTTTCTTTATGAGCAGGTAGCGGAGCACGAGACAGAGTGTCAGCAGTCCATAAACTCTTTCCAGGAACATGATAAATCTTGTATGAATAGCGCATCAGTCTCATACGGAGCCGCTGGATGCGGGGAGGTAGAGCATCCAAATCCTGGCCCCCAAGGAGACTCAACAGCGGTTTGTGATCGGTTTCCATCTCAAAATGTTGGCCAATCAAAAAGTCACGAAATCTCTCACATGCCCAGGTCAGCCCAAGGGCCTCCTTTTCGACCTGTGTGCATCTTTGCTCAATAGGAGTAAGAGACCGTGACGCGTAAGCAACAGGTCTCCAATCGACACCCTCTTTTTGCATCAGGACTGCTCCCAGTCCATATGATGATGCGTCTGCAGATACTTTGAGTTGCTTGTTTGCATCGTACAGAGCCAGCACCGGAGCAGACGACAAGTCTCCTTTCAAGTTCTTAAAAGCTTTAACTTGTTCTTCCCCACAGTACCAACAGTTTTTCTTAGACAGGAGATCTCTGAGTGGTTTATCTTTTTCCGCCAGATGGGGAATGAATTTTCCCAGCTGGTTGACCATACCAAGAAAGCTTCTTAGCTCATTGACATTTCTTGGCTCAGGCATCTCCTGAACCGCTGTGGTCTTGGCTGGGTCTGGTTGCACTCCTCTGTCTGAGATAATGTGGCCAAGAAACTTGAGTACACGCTGGGACAAGGCACATTTGTCTAAGTTGAGGGTAACGCCAGCATTTTCCATCTTTTGGAGCACTGCGTGAAGCCGCACATCATGCTCCTCTTGAGAACGTCCCCACACCAGCACATCGTCCATGTGACAGACCACACCATCCAGGCCCTCTAAGACCTCGGTTACTATACGATTTTGGAAGTGTTCAGGTGCCGATGCGATACCGAAAGGAACACGATTGAAGAAATACCGCCCAAACGGTGTGATGAAAGTTGTCAGCTTGGCAGACTGCTCTGCTAGAGGTATTTGCCAAAATCCCATGTTGGCATCTAGCTTGCTAAAAACACAAGCTCCCGCTAACAACCCAAGAGTCTGTTCAACCGAAGGAAGTATGAATTTCTCCCTTCGCACTGATTCGTTGAGCTTTGTTAAGTCAACACAAATATGTGGATCACCAGACTTTTTGGGCACCACGACAATGCCTGCACACCACTCTGTGGGTTCTTCCACCCTGCTTATGACTTCCATCCGCTCCATGCGTTGTAGCTTATTTTTTACTTTTGGCATGAGCGCAAGAGCAATGCGTTGTGGAGTTTTGAGGGAAAATGGAACTGCTCCTGGGCTCAGTTCAATGGTGTAAGGCCTCTGTAACAGTCCTAGCCCACTGCACAGCTTTGGATAGCGTTCCTGTAGTGTGTGTATGCTTACATCATCAACACGTGTGACAAGACCCAATTTGGTGATGGCGGGTCTACCTAGCAGTGGTGAATGAAGACTCTTAACAACATACACATCCTCCAAATATATGCTTGTCCCCTTTCAGAAGCAGCATGTTTGAAACTCCAAGCACGCTAAGTGGTGAGCATCCAGGTCCAAGTAAAGGCTTGGTCACTCTCTGGAGTGCTGGTTTGTTGCCCTATTTAAATATCTTGTGGAACACATGGTCTGGCATAACAGTGACATCCGCACCTGTGTCGATCTTGAACTGTACTTCACAGTCTTGTATTTTAATATCAATAAGCCAGGGGTCACCCTCGGCAACTACAGTGCCCAAAAATATGTCAGGGTCTTGTTCTTGAATCTCATTCACCTTTCTGGATGAAGCACACACCCTTTGGTAATGTCCCCTCTTTCCACAGGCATAACAGAGAACACAGTATTTGCAGGGCAGTGCGCTTTCGGATGTAACAGGCTTTTTCCACACTTGTGACATCTTGATTGCGACTGTTTGAATTTGTCTTTTGCTCCATGAGCATTTTTGACTCTCTGCCTGCTTTGAAATGACTTGCTTTTGCTTATGACTCTATCTACAGAATCAGATGCTTTTGCATTAGCGCATTCACCACGCAAATTACTTTGCTGCAGCTTCACTGCCTCAGTCTGTCTCGCCATATCAATGGCCTTTTCCAGTGTTAGATCTTTATCTAACTGCATTCGCTCTGACAGACGTAAATCATTTAAACTGACGACTAACCTGTCTCTGATTAATTCGTCGTGCAGTGGCCCATCTTTGCAGTGCTCAGCCAAGGAGTACAGTGCAGTCACGAAGCAGTCAATTGGTTCGTTTTCTCGTTTTTTCCTCATGTAGAAACGAGCTCTCTCATAGATTACGTTCTTCTTCGCAACAAAGAACGCGTGAAAACCCTCCTTTACTGCATCGTACCGCTCACTGTCTTCGTCCATCAAATTCAGCCCCCCCACAACGCCCACTCCTGGGCAGAAATGGTACTCAGAGCCTGAACCTTGTAACACATTGTAATGTTGCACTAATAGATTATCCTACAGAGAACACCTAGGAAGCCGGGTTAGTTAAAGCGCTGCCGTTACTGTTTACATTGCGTGGAATGGTGCGTTGTGATTGGTTTAGCGGATATGTCGCATTTAGCAGAAAAGGGAGACTGGCGTTTGTCGCGGTTTGGAAAGAAAGGGAGAAAACATTACATAATAACACGGCAGATATCGCATTTTACGTAAAATTAAACATTGTTTTGTATTTGGTCGGTATTGAAAAGTCAGATTTTTGCAGTAACTCATTTTTTTTTAAATGGCGTTTATCAAGTTTTGGAACCAAACTCTTAATTTAATGAAGCGCTGCAAAGCTTCCGGCCCGACAGCACAGTGTGAGCTCAGTGCCCGGGGCCGAGGCTATCAGCCCCGCCCAGCCCATTTACAGCCCTGCTCACACCGGCCCACTGAGGACAGTATCTTTGACTTGTGGTGACCTCTGACCTGTGGTGACTCTTGACCTTTGGTGATCCCTGACCTGTGGTGATCCCTGACCTGTGGTGACCTCTGACCCATGATGACCCCTGACCTGTGGTAACCTCTGACCTGTCGTGACCCCTGACCTGTGGTGACCTCTGACCTGTGGTACCTGTGGTGACCTCTGACCTGTGGTGACCCCTGACCTGTGGTGATCCCTGACCTGTGGTGACCCCTGACCTTTGCTGAACCCTGACTTGTGGTGACCTCTGACCTGTGGTGCTGAAGCTTGCGGTGGCCCTGGAGCTGCTCAGATCTCTCAGACGGCTCTGGATGCTCACGCTGTACCGGGTAGAGGAGCTCAGCGACTGCAGCTGCTCTTCTGCTGCGTTTCCGGACACTTCCATGGTTATCCCAGGGGCTGATGGCGGAAACACAGGACGGTCATCTTTCAGCAATGCTGAAGTGTGTCTGTGCTTTCTTTTCTAACAAAGCATAAACCATATTTTAGCTTACCTGCGTCCGAGCTGTACTCAATGATGTAATGGTCGACGGTTGCCAGAGCGGGTCTCCATAGCAACAGCGCTTTACTGTCGGTGACGTTTATGACCCGCAGGTCTGTTGGAGGATCCGGCACTGAGGGACACACATGAGATCACCAACACTGATCGAGGCACCCAGACAGCAATATAGAGTCGGCCGAGATCCGGCCCACATCTGGGCTGTGTGGATCCATGTGTCCCGCATCTGGGCCGGATAGGGGCCGACACCATGTTGCTGTTGGGAGTTATCCTGCGGTGACTTGAAGATTCCTTTTGATTTGAGTGTCTGAATGGGGCAAAAGCTTTCTGTGATATGTTTTTGATCATGTTAAAGTAGGAGTCAGCAAACACTAGAGGAGTTGATCAGTCGTTTAGCAGATACTTTTAATCCAAATTCTTTTCTAGTTAGTTTTATACTGTACAACATTTCAACCCACCAAATTAGTTTAGTCACTGCCTTACATGGAAGTGTAAAGCTGTGATTGATCAGTTTACGGGTGTTTCTGTAATGACTCACGGGTGGTCGCGGTGTCTGTGATGGGGTCGCTCTCGTCTTGGCCGAGCACTGACGCTACGCTGACCTCGTATGAGGAGCCGGGAGACACCGGAGCGAGATCCAGGCGGAGCGTCTCCGAGTCCACACTGACCGAGACCGGCTCACCTGCCGACACACACACACGCACGCACGCACACACACAAACACACACACAGGGTTAGTAACAGCAGGGGCTTAAAGTCCCCCTCAAGTCAACACATAATTCATATTTTTTCATGGAATATATACATTGGTTCCGTAATCTTGAATCAGAATAACTTCCCCTTCTCTGATGACGAGGGCGGGGCAACCTGTCACTCACATGAGATCAGCCAATAGCAAACCTCAACCATCCAATCAATTCCATGCAGACAAAACCAAGCCCCTCCCAAATTTGTTCTTGTTCCAGATGCGTTTCGCCACAGAATAAAACATTTTAAAACATAATTGTGACTTTTTATCTTACAATCGCGAGTTTATTTCTCAGAATTGTAATATTTCTTACTTTATGATTCGCAATTGCGACTTTATATCACGCTATTCTGAAAAAAGGAAACAAGCTTCCATGGATATATGGCACAATAGTAAAGAAAAACACTAGCGCTATTTCCCTTTCATGCTCATGAAGTGTTAATAACCAAGCTCAGGAAGTCAATATAAGAATTATATGAGTTTTACAGTCTTGCAATTTATTCAACCCAAAATCATGCAATAATAGGACTGTGGGAAACAAGCTGCAATTAGTGTATGCAACGTGTGTTTCTAGAGAGATTTGCACATCTAATGCTCCTTTGAAATTGAGGTTTGCGTTACCTTCTTGTACGTGAGTGTGTGTGATCTTGAATCCGGACACCTTGCTCTTGGGTTTGGCCCAGGACACAGTGAAGGAGCTGTCGGTCACATCGCTGAAGACCAGATCTGATGGAGGCTCCGGGCCTGAGCGGACATCAGACACAGCTCAGACACACAGACACAGGAAAGAAAGAGAACAAGTTCCCAATAGAGAGTCCTCACCAGAAAGGTCAAGGATACGGAGAACAACAAATAATGTGAGGGAAAAGATGTAAGCATGAAAACAAAACCAGACTAAAACATTAAGCAGAACTTGTTTACTTGCATTCACAAGTCCCTGGTCTCTGTGCAAACCCTCACACACGGCTGTCTACGGGTTATTTCAGGGACAACATGAGTGTATATATGTGCAGTCGAAACATATATACAGTATATAGGCCAAGGCCTATACAGAGTCCACAGAAACCTGGCTGTTAATGACGGACACGAGATCCTGCACAGAAAACACAAGCATGATGTGATGATGCTGCTCATTTCAACCTGGAGAGGAGAAGAAAAATGCAAAGCTGGAATGAGTGAGGAAGTGGAGGAAACACGTGAACATGACAGAAGCACAGTTGTGTGCGGGTTACGCGAACTGAGACCAAAGACCATGGCCTTACCCTGATGGAGAACACATGAAGCTCTGGCCTCAGCCTGGGTGAGAAAAGACCAGTGCTGGTGAACGTGTGTCCGCTATTAGATTACACTAATCCCTCAGTGTGTAAAGATGAACAAAATCATATTTACAGTAATGCGTTTGCCAAGGTTTAAAAGCAGAAATGCGAAGCTAGCGTTTTTGTATCACCATCAAATAAAGAATTATGTTTGAGAGAACTGCCAGGTCTGGTTTCATAATTCTACCATATTATTTAGAATAGAAATATCATCCTTATGTGTGGATTCAGCTCAGATATGATGAAATCATCACACAGACTGTGTTTATTGATTTTACACAACTGACACAACATGTGATGCATTCAGTTTGATTTGTCATCATTTTTATGAACAGAAGGACAAGCTGAAATTATTTTGGTAATCGATAGCATGATGCTGTTTATCTGACATTGTTTAATCATTACATTTATCATATATTAATCAGTAGTAGCTCACTAGCTCTCATATCCGAAACAAAATGTCATGTTAAATTAATTCAATTACCACTGATACACAATGGCTGTAATAGTTAAAGTGTATTTGTATAGTCTAATGTTAATGTTAGTTATGAACAGTTAGTTATCACCAAATGAATGAGATGATGTGGTAACACTTTATTTTACGACCCGCAAACAACTGTGTAAGTACACCGAAATTACGGTGTATATTTCTGTAATTATGGTGTACTTCAGTGTAGGTATAAGGGAACAATAAGGTTAAGTTTGCGGTAATAAGGGGGTAACAAGCAGATGTACAAGCAAATTATTTAATTAGTTAAAAAATAACAGGTACCTATTCTGTTAATATATTCCAGGCAAAGATTGTACGTCTGTTTTTTATAAAATGTATCACATTTCTGGCAAAACATGTTCAGGATAATTTTGACATCTTGATGGATAATTTTGACATAATTTTGACATCATATATATATATTGGCTTTTCTTACTAGATTACTAGAAAAGTCAAAATAATTTGTTTCTGCTATGATTTTAATTTAGACCGTACCATGTGGTAATTAGTCCTTACCTTATCCCATTGAATTGCAATGACACTTAAATGTCAGGGCAAATATACTGTGTAATTAAAACGTTTTTTTTTTTTTTTTTTCTTAATAACAGTACCATTCTCTGTAATTACAGTGCAAAAAGTGTTGTTTCGTATTGCTATATTGTAAGTAGCGTTTGTTACCCCCTTGTTCTGCGTAGTTACAGGGTAAGTGTAACTCCTGTGGGCTGTAAATTAAAGTGGTGCTTGTTGCCCCTTTATTACCCCAAACTTAAAATATTGTTCCCTTATACTTAGACGGAAGTACACTATAATTACAGAAACGTACACCGTAATTTCGGTGTACTTACACAGTTGTTTGCGGGTCGTAAAATAAAGTGTTACCGATGATGTTAAGGTGAAACTAATGAACAACTCTTTTGTGTTCTGTTGATATTCAAGACACACATTTGCCTGATGAGAGTGTGTGTGGACGGCCACACTGACACACATTTCATTCTAGAGTTCATTATTTAGCATGCTAGTTTCTACTCTTTCTTCAACTCTTTCCCTGACAGAATTTAAAAAGTTTGCACCATTTTCACTGAACTTTCATCTTGGCCAGAATATTTAGTTGTATGAATAATCTTAGCAGAGCCTCTGCTTTAAAAAAAAGAAAAAGAAAAAGAATTATTTTTTATCAACACTTGAATATGGGTAATAAAAAACCCAACATTTTTATTAAAAACACAGACGTCATCACCTCCTCAAAGCTTCAGTCGTTAAGTCTTCCCGGATCAATAGTTACTGAAACATTACGTAGCTTTACATTTATAGCTGTTTAATGTTTGATGGCTGTGTTATTTTACATGTGTGTTTTGATCCTGAGGTTCAGTATTCGTTCAGCAGATGTGTGATAGTGCCCCCTGTGTGTAACAGTGAAATCCCGGATCGCCAGAATACTCTTATACAGGGAAAGAGTTAATGTGCTGCTCAGCGTGTCCACACACAACGTCCACAAAAGACAAAATGCACAGGGTTAGCAAATATAAGTGTTCTAGTCAAACATTTATAAAAATTTACTGACTGCATGAATCTTAATCAAATATTTGCTTTGATTAGAAGCTCCTGATAGGCAGGAGTGTACACATAACAGCAGGGAAAGTGGCGGCGCTAAGCAGACATCCGCTCAGAGCACGAACAGATTAGGGTTAGCAGTGTTGGCTTCTGGTTTTGAGTACCTGTATGAATGATGAGGCTGTGAGTTTTGGAGCGAAACGCAGGTCCCTTCCCAAAGATGGACACAGAGTAGCGGGTCCGGGGGCTGAGGTTGGTCATGTGGTGTGAGCGGGCCGACCCCGGGAGAACCGTACTCGTGTTTCCCACACTCTTCTTCATCTCTGAACTCCGTGCATTGGGTTCATGGACTGCAGCTTTGCCTTTGCTCAGACTGTTTCTCTCGGCTAACCCATCATCACCCTCTTCCTCGCCGTTTCGCCCATCAGCCTCTTCATCTCTTTCTATCTCATCCTTTTCTTTGTTTTCTGGTCCGAGCTCAGTTTGAGTAATTCTGAAGTGTTTGAACTTTTGCTCCGGAGCCGGCCATGTCAGGTCCAGCGCTGTGGACAAGGCGTTGACGACCCGCACATGCTCGACCGAGCCGTCCGAGTCGCTCAACACATACTCCTGGGTCTCATTATTGGAAAAAGATCTATCGGAGTTTCCTTTTCCATACGGACTGATGTTTGGGCCTACTTGAGTGGTACCAATGTGTTGTATTTGGGAATGTGTGCTGGCGGCCCCATCGGTCCTGTTGATTCCTGCATTTGGTCTCATCCTTACACTAGTGTTGTTCTCTGTAGCCGAAGTTAATGCAGGTTTCACAGGTCGGACAGGACTGAATGTCCTGTTGTTCCTCATAATGGATTTTGAAAGGAAAGCTCGTCTCATGGGTCCTCGAGAAGGGTGTTGAGGCGGCTCCAGAACGGGCCTTGTGCGGTTCTGAAAAGGATTGACATTGGGACGACGAGGATCAGAACCCCTAAAAGGCTTCTGCCGAAACGGCATCACATCCGAGGCTTCAATGCCAGTGTTTTTTATTGCAGAGTCTTGTTTCGAGAGGAATTTGACTGGTAATGGAGTTGTGTTCGGGAGTTCAGGACTTGATTCCTGGATTTCTCTTGTGGCTGGAAACACTTTCGTCTCTACAAGGGCTTCTTTTGTAAAACCGGAGGCAATTGAACTAGGCCAAGAAGGACGCTTCTCTTTTTGCAGCTCTAAAGATGATGAAGAGTACGGCGACATAAAAAGTGTGTGTTTTGGCCTAGTTGGCAGTCTGGGGACGGACAGTGAAGAAGCCGGGATAGGGTTTCTTCTTGCTGTTGGCGGGTCTCTTGCCGTATGTGGATTCCCCGTCTCAGGTTGAGCTGATGTGGAGACGTGAGGAGATGTGCTGGCGAAGGACATTATTGTCTCAGGACGTCTCGTTGAATAGGGAGTGGCATTCAGATTATTTTCATCCACCTCTTCATCAACTTGCACTTCTTCTTGCTCCTTCACACTCCTCCTGGCCTCAGAAGTCTCCGCGTTAGGGTTAGTCTCGTCCATGTCATTGACTATAGACTCACCCATCAGAAGCTTGTGTAAGAGCTCGTTTCCGTTTACATGGCCAACTATAATGCTCAGGTTTTTTGACAGCACATTGCCATCGGACATGTTCCCATGTATCTTCCTGTACCCGACCAAAACCTTCCGGACACATTTTGTCCCATTTATATAGGCTGTCAGTTTTTTTTCTGTTGTGATTATCGGCTCTTCGGTTGTGAAAGGCAGTGGAGTGGATGTGAGTTTGTGAACGCTGGATCTTGGGGTCTGGACAGATTCCCTTCTAAACATGGTTGCGATGTCTCCCGTCTGAGATCTTGTCTCTTTCATTGTCAGTTTCAATGGTTTGCCAACGGACACAGGATAAGCTGAGTCGTCATTCTCTGTTACTGACCGATTTGAAGAAGGTCCAACAATCACCCCTTTCACTCCCATCTGGGAGGAATTGAAATGTTTTACTCCTGGACGATAAGGTCTTCTTGTGATTTCCGGCTGTGTGCCGGGTTTGGGAAGCATCCCATGCCTTCTCACGGGCAGTGGTCTTTTTTGCCCTGGTCTAAGAGGTACGCCTGGTTTGAGTCTGCTGGTATTCCATGTTCTTTCTGAGTTTTCAACCTTTCCTTTAGTCAGCTGGCCGCTCAGCACTTGCTTTCGCAGGATGAGTGTTGTGTTTGTGAGCCTCGGTATCTTTTCTCTGTTGTTTCCAGGCTCCAAGTCCACCTGCACATTGTCCGTCCTCATGCTCATCCTGGTTTCAGGCACTGAGACATTCCCTAAAGGCACGAATAAAGTGTAAAATGTGGATGCTAAATTAATCGTCCCAGCTGCAAATGGAAATCCTGTTAATAGAAAGATGGTGTTAATGCAACAAGTTAAGTCAGTTAACCAAACGATTCTGGCATTGGGTTACGAGTTAATGCAGCATCAGGTCCACTTTAAGTCCTATAGAAAACCGTGGAGGTTTTTATTTTCTGTAAGAAAGAAGAAAGGTAAAAGCTTCCTAAAGAAATAGAAAATGTGGCATAGAGGGAATGCATTGACATGTAACTTTCCCGCGTGACAACCCCCCTCAGCCTGACCGAGTGGCAAAAGATCTGCTGCGTGACTGGATTTAATAGGGGAAACTGCGGAAATGCGACTAAATCGAACAATTTTATCAATTTAAACTAAATGTTGGACTCAATATAGTGTTCCTTACAACTTACTAAAGATCCAGTGATCCATGGATATTGACATGCAGCCAGGAATCGTGTTGCCTGACGTTTATGTTTGCCTAATTTCGACACCGGGGAAATAAAAGCAAGACCTAAACATAAAGCAAATTTGCCTTTGAACGCTTTATATAAACATAATATGGGTAGGTCTAATTCCGGGTGATCACTTATATCAGTGTCATATAGCCTATATATATATCATATCGTCCAGCCCTAAAACTTTATACGTTTTTTGGTCAGTGTTTATTAAAAAAATATCCAATAATGCAGAATATGCAATGATAAATATTTAATTGATGAGTTGTTAATGTATATAACAATACAAAATATATGGGTATGGTTTTACAGCTAAATTCAGCATGTTGACACAAAATGATAACTGCAAATCCACCTTTCGCTGACTGGAGTCCAGCTGTTTCTGTGAATTGCAGCGATCCATTTGCTCCTCTTTCTATAGCAGTCTGTAAAAATATACCTCCGATGTTTTGTCAAATCTAGTTGTAGGCCTACAGTCAATCGCAAAGCTCTTTCCCACTTTATTTGTGTGTTTTGTGTTTGTTTTTCGCGGCATTCACGCTGAACACATACAGCCGCTCAGTCTTTTTGCCACTCACTGTGAGGAACTGCAGGCACGCCGGCCGATGGTGACGTCACGTGCATTCCCTCTATTGCTGGTTAGAGTGAAGATTGTGTGTGTCGGGGGAAACATTCTTCACAATAAAAGAGAAGAGAAAATGTTCCAGTCATAGACATTTACATGAGGCAAAACAAAACTTGCCTCGCCACAAATAAAACTCAATTCCAATAGCCTGGACATTTCCAGAGTGAGGTCACTGGTTTGTAAAGACTGACTGGTCTACACACGATCAGTGCGAGGCTTGTCGGAATTCACATCATCTGGTAATCTGATATAAATACGTTTAACTCATGATGACTTTTCCTTGTACACTCATTACCTGCTGTGGCATCTACGCTTGACATGCAAAGGGCCTGGACTCAAAACCTGGCCAAATATCAGCTTTCATTAGTTGGTAAATACCAGCATTTGATTGTCAAAAATTCCTGAATTGTCAGATACAACGTCTGGTAAAAAAATATTAACACGATGTAGTACATCCATTAACCAAAGTATGTTCATAAGTGCCCAAGTTGAATGGTGTGCTTACGGAGTACACATTTAATACATTTTTAAATCATATTTGTAGGCCCGGAGCTGGACAGATACACTAGGCTGTGTGATGTCATTGTGTGTTGGCCAGTATAGCTCACAGCCTTTTCATTGCTGTTTTCCATCTGCCAATAACTCGTTTACAAATGAAGCACTGATTACAGGGCAAACTAAACATCCAAATCAGATGATCTGCTTTTTTTTCTTTCTTTTCTTTTTTGCCGAACACAACAAAATTCCTTCCATTCCATTTCTACAAAAATACCTTCCTAAAAGGATTTCAATGTCATTTACTGGAGAAGAACAATGACAGAAAATACTTGTTTTCTGAAAAGATTAGTTTGTGCTCAAATCAAGAAGGTTTTGACCATCCACAACTCTTTATACCTGCTCATGTTAAAGACATTTTGCTTTAATATTTGCTGTAAAAAGTTATAAGTCACACTGTTCCCCATCATTCTGAGAGCTGTTAATAAGAATGTATGTTCAGTGTTACGCTATAATTTATCCCCCTGAGACTCACCAGGAGTGGCCTGTACGGTTGCTGGCCGGCTCCGAACACCGTCTCTCTCCGCCACCAATGAGATGTCATACAAGCGTCCCGGTTGCAAGCCCTGGATCTGGGCCGAATCCCTCTCCGGCGCCAGGAACATCTCCGGGAGTCTGACGGATCCTTCCGTCTGATTGGGTGCAATGGAGAGGACGTACCTGTCAATCTCCCCCTGCGCCTTCTCCCATTGGAAAACGACTGTTGTGGTGCTCGTCTTCACAACATGCAAGTCTTTCGGCCCGGAGATCACTGTCCAAAGATGAATGAACCACTAGTTAAAAACCTTCTATAAAGGCTGTTGCTCTACGCTGTTGTGTTTGCATGGACTCACAAGTGGTGAACATTGTTGTGCTCTCCATTCCCATCATGCCATCCTTCTCTCCAGTAACACTGACCATGTATTCCTGACCGGCGGCCAGTCCAACCTGACTGTATGTGTTCAGTCTTCCACTGATCCGGGAGATTATTTTCTGATCCGTTTCTTTCTGTGGAGAGAGAGAGAGAGAGAGAGAGAGAGAGAGAGTAACTTGAGAATCAGGCGTCCACAACACGCCAAAACAAACTACTAAATATTAATTGTATCAATTATGATATTTGAAGTATGTTGTTTTATAATTATTTAATATTATTTAATATTCATTTAGTATTCAGCCTGTTGTTCATTTACTGTGATAAAAAGATTAGAGTCACTTCATATATCAGTCCCTCCAGAAAAACGCGATTATGGGATCGCTGAATTCAATGCAAAATCAGCCAAAGTCCGCATATTTATGCGGGGGCCGCATTATTTCAAATACGCCGCACTTTCGCCGCATAAATTGCCGATTTCCGTGCAAAATATGTGGGGCTTGCATAATTTCATAATCCTCGCATTTTCGTTGCAAAAAAAGTCACATGTATCTTAGCAGAAAGTTGTAAAATGTTGCGTTTGCTTCACACAAGACCCAGATAGCAAACTGACATTGAATCAACGTGGAAATATGACATCGAAACAACGTTGATCTGACATTGTTTTGCTCATCGAATTAACGTTGAACCAACGTCAGACGCGTCATTCTTTCAAAACTAACGCAAAATCAACTTGAAATCAACGCATTGTTTCAACGTTATGATAGCAAACCAATTTTCGATTTCATTTAGCTTTGAAGAATGCCGCGTCTGACGTTGGTTCAACGTTAATTCGATGAGCAAATCAACGTTGTTTCAATGTCATGAGAGACGTCGTTTCCACGTTGATTCAATGTCAGTTTGCTGTCTGGGGAGCAGCCATTTCCCCCTGTTTCCATGGGAACGTTATGAAGTGACGCAATTACGCGACGCCAGACAGACTCACGGAGGCGATTGACATCTCACAAATCGAACTCGTATAACGGTCTGTCACACGTTCTACCGTCACATCATTCCTTAATAAACAACATAATATAAAAGAAGTAGCGTCAAACAGAAATTACCCGCACACATGGGGTGTTTGTGGCGCACAAGGGAGCGCGCAGCTCTTAAAGGGGCCACACCTTATTTACACTCGTTAAAGTCTGAAATAAAACAAGAGATAAGAAATTAAATATTCCCAGCACTTTCTATGATGTAGTATGCTTCCCAGATAGCAAACTGACATTGAATCAACGTGGAAATATGACATCGAAACAACGTTGATCTGACATTGTTTTGCTCATCGAATTAACGTTGAACCAACGTCAGACGCGTCATTCTTTCAAAACTAACGGAAAATCAACTTGAAATCAACGCGTTGTTTCAACGTTATGAAAGCAAACCAATTTTCGATTTCATTTAGCTTTGAAGAATGCCGCGTCTGACGTTGGTTCAACGTTAATTCGATGAGCAAATCACCCAGATAGCAGACTGACATTGAATCAACGTGGAAATATGACATCGAAACAACGTTGATCTGACATTGTTTTGCTCATCGAATTAACGTTGAACCAACGTCAGATGCGTCATTCTTTCAAAACTAACGGAAAATCAACTTGAAATCAACGCGTTGTTTCAACGTTATGAAAGCAAACCAATTTTCGATTTCATTTAGCTTTGAAGAATGCCGCGTCTGACGTTGGTTCAACGTTAATTCGATGAGCAAATCAACGTTGTTTCAATGTCATGAGAGACGTCGTTTCCACGTTGATTCAATGTCAGTTTGCTATCTGGGCAACGTTGTTTCAATGTCATGAGAGACGTCGTTTCCACGTTGATTCAATGTCAGTTTGCTGTCTGGGTTGCTTATCAAAGGAAGTAATAAGAAATGACTCTTACAGCCTAGTGAGAACAGGGTGATGGGGGAATCACTTTTTTTCTCTTTTTTTTATCAAACCGCAAATTTGCAAGTTCCCTCAATTTTTGCAAATTCCTGCAATTTCATCCCATAAAATTGCATAAATATCCCGCATATTCTTTCCATCGCATTTTTAAAGAAAACGGGCCACGTAATCAAGGATTTTTGCCCGCAACAATCACAAAAAAACTCCGCGTTTTTCTGGAAGGACTGATACTGTTTCAATACAAACATGAGAATTTCTCATTTCTCAATTCCTCAGTGTTTCTGTCTTGTTTTCTAGCCCAAATAGGGGCTCAGTGGTTCATGTGGGTTGTCTACGAACCGAAAGGTTGGTGGTTCAAACCTCGGTTCCACCTGACCAAGTGTCGAGGTGTCCATGAGCAAGACACCTAACCCCAGCTGCTCCCGACGAGCTGGATGGCGCCTTGCATGGCTGACACCGCCGTCGGTGTGTGAATGAGTGTATGAATGGGTGAATGTGAGGCAAATGTAAAGCTCTTTGGTGGCCATTAGGTCTATAAAGGCGCTATATAAATGCAGTCCATCCATTCAAATATCCAATAGGTCAATGTGAGGCAAATGTAAAGCGCTTTGGTGGCCATTAGGTCTATAAAGGCGCTATATAAATGCAGTCCATCCATTCAAATATCCAAACATATTTAAACCAAGATACATTTACTGGAGAAGGTAAATGATTGAAGATATTAAGTCTTGTTTTCTGAAAAATATCGTGAAAATGAAGTGAGTTTGTGCTTAAAACAAGAACAAATATCTGTCAGTGGAGTCAGAAAAATAATCTAGTTTTCCCTTTGAATGAAGATAATTCAGTGGAAGAAAACGAATCGGTTACCTAACGTAACCTCGGTTCTCTCTAGATGAGGGAACGAGTATTGCGTAAGCTAGCTTACGCTACGGGAAAGATTCATCTTTGCTGAGAAGTTGAAGCCAAAAAATTATTCCATAATTTTGTAATCATTGTCAACGCAGTCTCTTCTGAGGCAGACCATGAGCGGGCTAGCTAGCAGCTCATTGGTTCGCTTAGAGAGAATGCACGAACCTATGGGAGAGCGGCGCTGAGTCCGCGGCCAATGAGCGGACGGCGCTCGCTCACTGCGTCACAGCCCGCCAAAAGGGGCGTGGCTACAGTGTATAAAGGTCGCTCTCCCAGCTCGTTCGTTGATTCTGTAGCATGAAGCGAAACGCTAGTGGCGCAAGCACGGCCGGGAACGCAATACTCGTTCCCTCATCTAGAGAGAACCGAGGTTACGTTAGGTAACCGATTCGTTCTCTTACGAGAGGTTCTCTGGTATTGCGTAAGCTAGCTTACGCTACGGGAACGCTACTGGTCAACGCCGTGCGCGCTAGTAACCACTAAGCATCCCAGGGGGAAACACCGGGGGAATCTATAAGTGGATGAAGATAATACGGCGGCCAGCATAGCGGCCGCTATCATCTAGTGCAAAAACGCCCAAAGGCGGCCGGCGAAGCGGGCCGTGATGTGTAGGCTAATGCATAAGCACATAGGGGAACACAAGGGGTGAGCCGGTTGTGATGGAACTCCCGATAGTGCGGCTTCTATAGGAGGGCTGTGAGTATTAGACCGCCAGAATTTTAGCCTGTAAGGCTGGAACTTCCAAGTTATAAAAACTGACAAAAGTGGAGGGGGAGGCCCATCCCGCAGCCACACAAATGTCGTGAATGGAAATCCCGCAGGACCATGCCCACGATGAGGCCATGCCTCTGGTGGAATGAGCCCTGATGCCCAGAGGGCAAGGCAGGTCTTTAGCGGCATAAGCAGAGGCAATCGCGTCTACTATCCACCTGGATAGGGTCTGTTTCGAGGCGGCTAGTCCTTTGGTGCGGCCACCGAACGACACAAACAGCTGCTCCGAGCGTCTGAACGCGGCAACGCGTGTAGTGTACACTCTGATAGCCCGAACCGGGCAGAGGCGGTCAGCGTCACCTTCGCTATCGGATGCAGGCAGCGCCGATAGAGAGATCACTTGCGCCCTGAAAGGGGTACCAATCGCTTTTGGAACATAACCGTGTCTAGGCTTTAGAATGACTATGGAGTCATTCGGTCCAAACTCTAGGCACGCGGCGCTCGAAGACAGCGCGTGAATTTCCCCCACACGTTTTACTGAGGCGAGAGCCGTCAGAAGAACGTTTTTTAACGAGAGGTATTTTAGCTCCACGGACTCAAGTGGTTCAAACGGTGGGGCTTTCAGAGCTTCTAGAACTATAGAAAGATCCCAGACCGGCACCGTAGGGGGGCGAGGGGGGTTCATCCTTCTGGCTCCCCTGAGGAAGCGGATGATTAGCTCGTCTTTGCCCAGAGACTGGGCGCGCCGGGGTTCAACGAACGCCGCGATGGCTGCCACGTAAACATTAAGAGTGGATGGGGACCTGCCCTTATCCAGCATCTCCTGAAGGAACACTAGCAAAGACGAAACCTCGCACGTCCGTGGGTCCAAATTCTTGTCGGTGCACCATTTGGAGAACACAGACCATTTTGCAGCATAGAGCTTTCTGGTAGAATCCGCTCTGGCGTGTTTGATCGTGTTCAAAACCCCTTCTGGCAACTCGACGCGTAGTCGTTGGTCACCCATGCATGAAGCGCCCAGCGCTGTGGATGGGGATGCCAGATCGAGCCGCGGGCTTGAGTGAGGAGATCTGCTCTGATTGGAATGGGCCACGGGGCTGTCTGTGACAGCCGCGTTAGCTCCGGGAACCAAATCTGATTCTCCCAGCGCGGGGCTATGAGGAGCACCGAGTGGCGTGAGTCCCTGATTCTCTGAATGACCTGCGGTAGCAGAGAAATCGGGGGAAAAGCATAGAGCGGGCGGCGGGGCCAATCCTGGGCTAGCGCGTCCTCGCTCTTTGAAAAGAATATTGGGCAGTGAGCGTTCTCTTCTGACGCGAAAAGATCTATCTCCGCTCTGCCGAATAGGCGCCACAGCGTATGGACTGTTTGAGAGTGCAGGGACCATTCTCCGGGGGAGACCAGGTTCCTGGACAGCCTGTCTGGACCGTCGTTCAGATGGCCCGGTACGTGCGTCGCTCTGAGCGAGAGCAGGTGACTCTGGGACCACAATAGGATGCGGCGTGTCAGATGAAAGAGATTCTTGGATCTGACGCCGCCCTGACGGTTGATGTATGATACCACGGCCATATTGTCGGAGCGAATCAGGACGT